AAAATATCATTCTGCGTGTTGGTTAGAAATGTATACGTAGTTTGTTTAAACGGACTCTATTTTAGATACTGCTTTTTATTTCTGTGTGTATCTTGAGTTATTCTATATACCAATATATCTATATTAATTACATTTAGTTCCGGACATAACCGGAACATTGTCCGGGATATAGAATAGTTTCATGTTATCTGTTTTAACTACTATATGTAGTTATGTCAAAATTTTACGAAAATTGGTTGAGCCGTTAAGATATTAAGAGTGAATAACAAACAAAATATTTTCAAATTTAAAATATCGTTTATTTTTGTATTAAATTTGTTCAGTTCATTTAAAATTTCCATCCTCTTATGATTGCGTCGTCAATTCTGAATAATGTTTTAAAATCAATAGTTTATTCTCGTACTAGCTGTATCCCGTGACTGCTTGCGTAAATCAGTACAAAATGTACCCTATGTTACGATATAATCTACCCGTATTCCTAATTCCATTCAAATCTGTTGAGTAATTTTCATTTTCACGTGAAAGAGTAACAAACAACAACAGGATTGATGGCCATACTTGTAATGGATGATAATGGAATGGTAACCCCGTCTGTGCTATCGGTATACACTGGCGGGGCACCAGTGAGGGATGAATGATGAGGATGAGAAGGCAGATCAGTTAGTCCATCGTGAGGAATTCAATGATAAATTAGTCACGATGGTTTCCAGGGGGAACCGCGTGGAGGTCGACCTGATATGGTATATTGTTAGTAATGGGAACTAAGCTCCTCATTACTAACAATCCCTTCCCCCCGATGGCCATACTTACAAACTTTCGCTTTGATAATATTAATAGGATCGGTTTCATATTAAATTTGTTGGTACTAAAGTCGCCATTTTCTTTGTGTGGCAAAATTTTGCTATTTTAAATTAAAAATTTTAAGAAAATTTTCTCGTTCATTGGTGTTAAAATTATCATAGGAATTAGTCTTTACATCGTATTTTATTTTGTTAATTATTAATAATAATCTTTAATTAAAAAACAGAAAACAAAATTTTCAATGGTCCCCATATGTCGAGCCTCATTATATTTTGATTTTTTTTTTTTATACCACTGTGTTAAAAAATTTGTTGGTATCATTTTCTTTGTGTGGCAAAATTTGGAAAATTTTCTCGTTCATTGGTGTTTAAATTATCATAGGAATTAGTCTTTACATCGTATTTTATTTTGTTAATTATTAATAATAATCTTTAATTAAAAAACAGTAAATTACAAAATTGCTTAACAATGGTCCCCATATGGGTCGAGCCTGTATCATTATATTTTGATTTTTTTTTTATACCACTGAGGTGGCAAACAAGCATACGGCCCACCTGATGGTAAGCGGTTACCGTAGCCTATGAACGCCTGCAATACCAGAGGTATTACGCGCGCGTTGCCGACCCTGAAGAAACCTCTTTACCCCCCTTTTGAAGAACCCCATGCTGTAGTCTCTCGGGAAAGCCTCGATCAATTTATTTTTAAATAAAGAATAAATTAATAAAAATTTTAAAGGACATTAATACGTGAATGAATCGAGTCACTGTGATAGTAATGTTGAGTAACGACGTGTGATTGAAATTAATTATAATTATGTTAATTGATGCCGCTTTTGTAATTGTGAGATGTCGCCATGTACAGCCCTATGAGAAGCTTGTTGTCACAATGTAATTTTTTACTAAATTTTTGAATTATTTGTCTCCTTTGTGTTGACATTACCATACTCGACGAGAAATATAATCTCTTTTTTAAGTCTCGTTTTCAATTAGTAATTTTTTTTTCAAAGTAAAATCAGTGTCATTAATATCTCTTTAAGAAACTGTTTATTAGATATTAGAATAATCGACTATTTTACTCAAAGAAACATGAATAAAAAAACGTTGAAGAAATTTTAAGTCTTCTCAAAAGCTTTTCTTTTTGTATAATAGTAAATAACCCTATTGCTTAACCCAGCCATTTTAGTATCCCATCCAGTAAACTTAAATACAGCTGTTTCACGACAAACTGGGCGATACAGACGTACCCAAACAGACGACTTTCGTACAGTTTCAGTATTAAAATGACGTTGCTTTTGACTGACTTTTTAGTACCTTGGCATAAAGACAGCTTGATTGTGATTTTTTGTTTTAGTTAGAACAAGGACCGGGCATGGTCGAAATGAAAGAATATATTCGACTACTGCAAGTATGATATATAATGATCATTGACGACATTGTCATCATATCAGCCGTTAACTAACTGTCCACGGCTGAACATCCACGGCCGAACTGTCCACGGCACGGTTTTCTCCTATTGGGGGGTTTTCCTAGCAGTTGCCACGGTTTTTTTTTAATGGATGATAATGGAATGGTTACCCCACCCGCGCTATCGGTTGCAACTGCAACCGCAGTTAGGTTTTGATGATGTTTAAAGACAGACGCTGCTGTCCATTCTTGACGATATTAAATTCCCTTGTTCACGATGGTTACAACACCACGTGATAGGGAGAAAGGGCATATTGTTAGTAATGGAGACTGAGAATCCCATTGCTAACAATATACCCAACCAGGTCGCCACGGTTGACGGTTCCCCCTTGAAACTATCATGGTTAATTCCTGGATGATTTTCAAGATGGACGCTGCTGTCCATTCTTCATTCTCATCTATCACCTTCACTTACAACACCAGCGGGATTAGCGCAAGGGGGTTATGGACAATTTTCACCCATCAAAAAAAATAGCTTGCAGGTGCTTACTATATTTTCGATTTTGTTCAATAATTGTTAACACACATTTTATCGGCAATTAGTCCTTCATAACAAATATTGCGTAACATATTTGCGTTCTATTTATTTATACCTAAGTCGAACGTTGCGACATTAGTTACAGTCGATAAAAATCTACGGAAAATTCTTGCAATATCTCTAGCTTTTTAGGTAGCGCACATTTCTAGGATAGACTAATAAATTCACCCACGCGAAGTGAACGCACTTTATATGGTAAAGTATTTTTGTGGCATAATCGTTCGGCTTGTTGTATGTATCCTTTATAGTTCTAATAGTTACTGTACTCCTTAAATAACACAGGAAACATTTTTATATATTTCTTGGTAAGATAAAAAGCTGACGGCCGTCCTGATAGAACGTGCTTACTGTTACCAATAGACGCGAACTACAGAATATACTGTGCCCATTATGTCACTCTTTTCCTTTGACGTTCTTCGTGTCAGGAAATGCACTGATTTTTAACTGACTTTAAGAACAAGAGGTTCTCAATTCCGTTATGTATTTTTCTAATTGAACTGTCAAATCTTAAAATCATTAAATGAAACTTCTAATGTAAGTAGTATATTCATTTATTTTAACATTTATTATATAAGTAGGTAGGTATTATATGTATTTATAGTGTATGTATTTATGTAATATTTTATTATATATTTTAATATTTTATTTAACTGTATATTTGTTTATGTATTAATAGTTGTAGCACTTCAGCTGCCCGCTAACGAAATGCTTTCTCACTGTACTGGGTTGACTGGAAGAGATCTCTGTCAGAGATAAGTCCACCCTTGCTCACAACATTTATAAATAGATTATTTTATATGTAACTTACAAGTGCAATAAAGTATATATATATATATGTTTTCTTACGTGTCATCATCATCATGGTAACAACGTTTAACTGTCCACTGCTGAACATAACCCACCTTTTTGGGGGGTTTTGCCAGAAGTTGTCGCACTTGGCAGGCGGGTTGGTAACCGCAGTTAAGCTTAAGAAATGTTTTAAAAAGAATGCTACTGGCCATCCCTCGCCCTCCCTTATATGTCTCTTACGACATTAATGGGAAAGGGAGGGGTGGCCTATTCTATTTGGGGATCACACTGCCTTACGTTCCTCATAGCTCCGTCAGTTGTAAACCGATTTGAATAATTCTTTTTTTATCTAAAAGGATACACAACTACTTACAGATTGGTCCAATAGAAATTTTATCAAAATCGGCTCATTAGTTTTAAAATTAAAATAACTTGTTTTCCCATAATTAGAGTAGGATTTTTTTTGTGGAAATCTTATATAGTTAATATTATTACTAAATATTATTAAATAAAATTCACATTTCCCCTCTTAAGAGATTGCGAACTAACAGGTAGAGAAACCGTCGTACTATGCAGTCAGTATCCGAGAGCATTGCTTTTTGCATCTTTCTCGGAAGAGATTGGGATAATTCACTGATAGAACATTTGATGATTGATGATGATGATGATGATGATATTGAATATTAAATTATGTAAGTTACCCACAAATAATATATAGCCTAAAGGACAGGGCTATTATGTATTATATATTTTTTAAAATATTTATGTGCCTTTACTTAGATATATGAGTATAAGCCTTCATGGCTTTAATTAATCCTTAATAATTAATCCTGTACATTATATATATGTTGTCTGTGTTAAGAGATGACTCTAAGCGACTGTAATATTTGTTTTTGTGCTTAATTTAATTTATAATTTCATTTACTGTATGAATTTTATTGTACCTACTGTGACATTCAAATACAAATAAAATATTGTTTAAGAATGAATAAAAAAAAAAATTGAATTAGTCACGTATCTACATTGGCTTTATAAAATGTCCTTAATAGTAATATACTAGGTGTGTAGGGTTAGCATTAAACAATCCTTTACAATATTCACTGGGACTATTAATTGGCAAATATAATCTATTACTATTACTGGATAATTATACTCGAGCTATATAAGTACTAATCAAGACTGTCACAAGACGGAACCTAATTGACAGCCGGTGGCAGCGGGGGGACGGCGGGCCCGACACAAGATCACCTTTCGCAATTTTCCGCTGCCGCGAGCTAATACAGCAGTTTCCGCTTGCAACACTTCAAATGTACAACCGTGTACTTGTAAGTATAACTATTTGTAATAGGTAATTAACATTTAATACCATTTTTGGGCATCGAGGGAACCGATAAGTGAAAAGCAGTTAATACTTTATAATAAATGTATTCTTTAGAAAAAATAGAACCGCGGATAGAAAACTTACTAATTTGGCACTAAACACAATGAGACCTTACGGTCCTGATGGTTTCAATGTAAGTAACCATGGCCTAGACCGAGCAGGGGGGCGGAGTACGCGCTATGACTGACTACGGGTGCTGCGAGCGGCACGCCGTGGCCCAACAGTCCGCCGCCGTACACTCCGCCGCCGTATAGTCCATGCCCCAGCAGCCCGTGTCCGTAGAGTCCGTTGTTGTAGAGGCCGAGTCCATGGCCATAGTAGCCGCCGGAGACGAGCGGAGCCGCGAGCGGCGCGGCGAGCGGCGCGGAGAGCGGCGCGCCGAGCCCGTATCCGAGGCCGAGCACGCCACGCTTCTCGTTCTTCTTCTCTTCTGCGCCGTACACGACGGCCGTCGCCAGCAGCACTACGCACAACTAGAAATAGACGTAATATTATTATCTTTTTTTATACAACTTAGAATGGCAAACAAGCTGACGGTCCACCTGATAGAATGTGGTAACCGTCGCCTATAGACATGAGCAGTACCATGGACATAACAGAGTATACTGTTTCACCCCTGATACCCCCCATGCGTTGCCATTCCTGAGGACTAAGATGTTATTCCTCTGTACCCAGTAAATTCACTGCCATATCCCACCCTTCAAACCGTAACACAGCCATGCAAACACAACTGCTTAACGATTGAAATACGAAAGGGACAGAGTAGCCCAAGCAAATTACTTTTATACAAAGTCTCCCTCTGGTTTATATTGTATATACATAACATCAGTATACTATGTCGCCCGTGATACTCCCCATACGTTGCCATCCCTGAGGACTAAGGTGTTATGCCTCTGCACCTTGTAATTTCATTGTCATATCTCACCCTTCAAACAGAAATATAGCCATGCAAACACAACTGCTTCGAAAATAGAAACACAAATGTATATATGCACCCATATATGTATATATCTTTGTATATATTCATGAATATTATATATAATGTCAAAATATACATGCAGTATTTGTAACAGAAAAGGCGTATACTACTTCTATACCAGTCAATCTAACCTTACGATCAAGTCGCGATTAAAAAGTGGTTTAAAAAAATTACAATTTTTTCTTAGCCTACAATAATACATTGTTACAATTTTGTTTCATATGTAAACGAACATGAATAAATAAATACTATGTGAACGAAAATAAATAATAAATATGTATATATGCGTATATATGTATATATCTTTGTATATATTTGTTTATATATAATAGTAAGCTACCTTTGTTTTTCTTTCTTTTCTCAATGTTCTCTACCCAAAGGTTGTCTGGAAGAGATAGCTTAGCAATAAGACCGCTTTTTGTACTACACTATACGTATTGAAAATTGTTTTAACAAATCATGTTATGTTGGTGCAATAAAGTATTAAATAAATAAAATAAATAAATAAATAATCTAAAGGGTGGAATAGCATTTTATTGATTTGGAAATGAATTAAAAGATTTAAACGTAATTGTTGTTGTTTTAATTGTACAACGCTATGAATTTCTCTCATAACTGTCTTCTATTTGTTTTTTTAGTTACCTTTAATTTAGTTTAATTTATTTGGCTTATTTATTTACAATTATAAGATTGTGTTCCAAGATTTTAATTATGGCAAAAGTATTTAAACTGATTAAGAAACTAAACTATTAAACCAACTTCAAAAAAATTCCTATGGGGCCAATATGTAAGTATATCTTTTCAGATAAAAAAAGAATTTTCCAAATCGGTTTATAACTGAAGAAGTTATGAGGTAACAAACCTAAAAAAATACAATCGAACTAAGAACCTTCTTCTTTATGAAGTCGGTTGAAAATGGTCACATTCTATACAAGGAATAAATAAATGATCTCGTCCACAACTTTTGGGTGACTTTTTAATTAAACACATAATGTTTATAATAAACCAACTAAATCGACTGCTCTCACACTTTCGAACTTTCGAGCAGATAGTTTGACACTCATAGAGTAACAGTCAACGCATTATAGAGTAGTTTATATATATATATATATATATATATATATATATATATATATATATATATATATATATATATATATATATATATATATAGTATTTCTATAACCTCCATAAAAAAAATACAACACCATCGATAAGATACGTTGTCACCGCGACCGTTTAATACGTATACTTAATGCAAGTTTCCTATATTAATATTATAAAGAGGAATTATTGGATTGTTTGTTTGTTTGTAATGGAGAAACACAAAAACTACTTAATGGATTTTAAATATATTTTTTTTATTTATAGAAAGTTACATTGTCATTGAGCGACACAGGCTAGGTATATATTATTTTCGAAAATTCTATTTGCCCGTGTAAAGTCGTTAATATTCTAGAAAATTATTAATTTAGTTTGAAATCGTAGTTTAGGTTAGTTTATTTAATTTTTCATAAAGTTATGGTTAAAAATATAGAAGAAAAAACAATAATAGATAAATAAAATGGTTTTATAAATTTAGCTAAATATTTTTGCTTTTCATCCAAAGATGTGTTTGTGAAAATATACGATTTTTATTATCGTTTCGTTCTAGTGGCGAGTGCGTTAACGTTGTACATGTGATATATCCTACTATATACTTACAGCGGCCTTCATATCTTCAGGTTGCGTCGAACGGGGACTACCAACAAATACTGCTCCCTCCGTGTGCCTTGCAGGCTTTATATGCGGCCCGGCCGGACCTAGGCCCCCCTTGCTTGGTGCTGTAGGCACTAGGTGCCCTATAGGTGCAGGTCTACAGTTTGAATAATTATTAGCAGTAGTGTAATTACATCCTTGTTAACTCTAACACTAAATTAAACCACAATTGCTAAAATTGGGAAAACTAAATTAATTATTTATATAAATAAATAAACATAAATGTGTAGATGTTTTTTGTGTTATTTATATTAATGTAACACGTATTGGTAATGACTGGAAATATATCATATAATATATATATATAAAAAAAGGAAATGATTTTTTAAAATTTTGTTATACCACCATTTTTGTATTTCTTAATGTAATGCTTAATAACTACAAATCTATTATGTAAATAAATATAAAAACACTAGTGGAACTATAGAAGTGATATCATTTTAGAGTACGTCGTCTAAATATTTTAAACGGTTCTTTTGATGAATAAGGTATTATACGATATATTTTATAATTGAAATCTCATTTTTCTATACTAACCACTAATTAATAATACATTGACATTTGTTTATTTTATAATAGTGGACGTTTAATTTTTTAGAACAAACAGTGTTCTCTAGTTATTAATATGACTCGATGGAAAATTGAACCTAGTATAGTATTTTATAAAATTGTGCTAAAAGGAGATTACGGGATAATTGACCTATTGGTTATTTTTTTAAATTGTGTTAAGCATTGAAAAGTAGATTATAGTACAATTGACCTACTGGATTTTTGGTTTTGATAGGCTGTACTCACGTGCGGGGTGCATACTGCACGCTCGCGTTGGTACAATCATTTCATGAACTCCGCTCCATATAGTACTATTGTTTTCTAATGCATTGATTAACGACCGCTGATACATACTCGTCGGGCAAATAAATCGATATACTATAGCACGTATAATTTTTGAATATATATACATATAAAAAAAAAACATATATTTGTATTTTTATTATGCAACAGTATCATGAACATAACAGAGTATACTGTTTCGCCCATGATACCCCTCATACGTCGCTATTCCTGAGGACTAAGATGTTATTCCTCTATACTCTGTAAATTCACTGCCATATCCCACCCTTCAAACCGTAACACAGCCATGCAAACACAACTTCTTAACGAATGGGACAGAGGTGCCCAAGCAAATGACTTTTGTACAAAGTTTCCCTCTGGTTTATATAGTATATATATAATTCGTTATATGGAACAGCGGCTTCAAGACCAGTTTAAACCTTGATGTGACATTTTCGTCAATTCTAATATAATTTTGATACACATTTTTTTTATTTAATACAGTTCATTACCGATTTATAAACCAATGCCGTGATAAAACCGTTGATACATTAAAGTGAAAATAGGTTAATTTAGAACACAGTGTCGTATGTAGCTAAGTAGATTTTCTTCGCAATATATAGACTATTATTTCTGAAAGAAACGGCGATTTCTAACATCACAAATTAATATGAATCAACAATAAAAAAATAATCTTATCAATTTAAAAAATAATTATCGAAATCGGTTCAGATATAGCAACGCAATTGGGTATCCCTAAAAAAGAAATAGAGACTAAATTATTTTTATAGCAATAAGGTGGCAAACAAGCGTCTGATGTTAAACGATCAGTGTAGGCTACGGATGCAGTGAAGAAATACAAATACGAATTGAGAAACATTGTGTTTTTTAAAATCGCACTAATATATATGGTAAAATGTGTATGATAAAAACAAATAATAGTCACTGTAACACCAGCGTATTAATAATATGTAGCTACTCGTAGTAGCGTGCCTATGTGCCGGCCGGCGTGAATGTGGAGCGTACGTGTATGGTGTCACAGTATGAGTGCGTCACACGCAGGCCACGCCCGGCGGCCGCTTGCGAACTGCCAATAAATTTCTCATGTGAAATAAGCTTATATATTATTGTAGAAACGAGAATATAAATAATTTGAAATTTCTCTGCACGTGTGCTCTTATGATTCTTTTTTAAATTAGAATTTTTAAGGTATTTAAAAAGGAGGTAAAAATTGTTCACTATATTTTCGCGCAGGTCGCCAATTCTGAATTAGTTTTAATGTTCTTTTTTTATTATTTATTATTCATATTTATTAATTTTATAAAAATAATATAAATATATATTTTATAAAGAAAATTCTTCTAAAATGGATTAAATAAACATAGTAATAATTTATAATATAATACAATTTATAATTTATAGTACCCGTAACCGGCGAGCGTGTATGAAAAGATTGATGAATGTGGAAGAAGTGAAAGAGGTTTGTTTGAATCGAAACATTTGGCGTTCCATTGTTTCTGCCTACCCTAATGGGAGACAGGCGTGACAGATATGTATGTATGTATGTATAAATAATTTTTTTGTAATGGATTATAATAGAATGGTTACCGCGCCTGTGGTATACGCTGGCGGGACACCAGTGAGGGATGATAGATGAGAATGAAAAAAGCAGGTCAGTTAGCCCATCGTGATGAATACACTTGGAATTCAGCATGATGGTTTTCAGGGTGGACCGCGTGGAGGTCGACCTGGTTGGGTGTATTGCTAGCAATGAGACCCTTAGTCTCCATTACTAACAATCCCTTCCCCCCAAATCCTAGTATTTATAATTTAATAACAATTTGTTTAAATAAGATGAAAATAAAACAAAACGAAGAATAAATAAATAAAAAAATAATGTTGGTTAATAATAAATAATTTATTAATAATTTTTAAATTAATAATAATACTTATGCCGAAAAAGACAATTTTCAGAGACAAAAGTAAATCGTACCATTCGCCGGCTGAATGGAACTCTACGATTACTTGAAAATCTCAAATATAATATAAAATATACGTATCTATAATAAATAAGTATTTAAACTGTTTCACAAAAACAGTCTACAGATATGGCCAATCTGCTGCACATTATCACTCGAACAAAAAGTTAATTTATTTGCCGTTATCTTTGGCTTAGTATTAATTTTGTTAAATAAAGTGTTTTAATAAGAAATATAATAATATTACTTCTATCTTCTGAATCGACCTCTTCACAATTAATAATTGATATAAATAAATTAGACATTCCTTGATATTTTGCGTAAAATATAAATAATAATTTACAATTTCGTGCATATTTACAAGTGCCGTGTGTACTGTTCACTAGATGCTATATATTCAATATCTAAAAACGTAAATGCCAAAAACGAATCGTTCACCGACTCGTCTTACGTTTATGTCATACATTTTATGAGGTTTTTATGATTATTAACTACATATGTATATGTCATATACGCAGACATCACACGTGTCAATCACAGTGGTGCGGGGCGAGCTATCGGAACTGTTCCGGGGGCCGGTTGATAGGCGGCTGCAGCCCTAACGGGATGTGGTTGTGGTACCGTTGGGCTTCGCTCTCGCCCTCATTGTCCACGCTCCGTCCCTCGGCCTGTGGGAGCCCGTACTCCTGCCCTAATTGTTGGTGGGCTAAGTTGAAATCATTCCCCGCGTGCTCTTGACCTTGCTGGCTATAATCATGTTGTGCGTATTCTTGAGCGTGCTGCGCGTATTCCTGTGCATGTTGCGCGTGCGCGTAATCTTGAGCTTGCTGCGCGTAATCTTGAGCATGCTGCGCGTAATCTTGAGCGTGCTGCGCGTAATCTTGAGTGTGCTGCGCGTAATCTTGACCGTGTTGCGCGTAATCTTGGTTATGTTGAGAAAAATCTTGATTGTGTTGTGAAAAGTCTTGTGCATGTTGAGGGTATTCTTGGTTCGGCTGACCGTACTCATGGCTCAATTGTTGAGGAGCGCCGTATTCTTGAGGAAGTTGATGCTGATGGTTCAGATTATGTTCGTACTGCGATTGTTCGAGTTGTTGTTGAATGTGGTGCTGCAGTTGATGTTGATAGTCGTGATACTGTTGTTCGTTGCCGGTGTGGTGTTCAAAAACTTGAGTGGCTTGCTCTTGAGTAAAGTGATGTTCTGGCTGTGGGAAATGAGCTTCAGTGTGTTGTACAGGAGTGAGGTCGTGCGCTTGCGACGGCACTGGAGACCAGCCGTTACTGTCGATAGATACCGCTGGCTGAGTCGGCTGCAAATGGACTGTTGGTTGTGGAACAGGCTGAGTTGGATGTATAAGAGTGGGTTCTACAGGCACAGTAGGAACTGGTTGCTCTAGGACCCCCTCGCCTCCAGCTGCTTGTGGTACTAGGTGGAATGAAGGTACATGAGGACGTTGCAAAACGACTTGATTAATGGATGCCGGTGCGATCGGTGGAGCCAAAGGTAAAAGTGGACTGTGGTAGTTCAAGAGAGGATATCTGGGATAAGTGGCAAAGAAAGATGTCTGCACAGCGTTACCTGGTCGTATTATATATGGGTATTGTGGCGCTAATGGTATCGGTGCAGGTACATGTGGCGCCTGTGGTAGCGGTATAGGTGCGGGCTGAAAAGGTACTGCTGCGGCAGGATGGAGGGGTACAGTTGCAGCAGGGAGGATTGGTTTAACATCTATATGGTTCGAAGGTAACACGTGAAGCGGCGGCGGGGCAATAGGTACTGGCTGAGGAGGGAGGATCGGTGAAGGATGTAGAACTACTGGCGGGGAGGGCGCTGGAATTGGATGCGCTACGGTCCCTGTTGGTTGCGGGATCGGAACTACGGGAGTAGCGGGTGCAGGCGGTGCTGGCAACACTGGCAACACCGGTTTAGGTTCGACATGGTGATGATGGTGGTGGAAGTGATGATCGGGCTTCGGCACTAGCACGGTATTCGTATGCGGATACTTGGACCCAAAATGGGAATGTGGATGATTCACTTTATGTCCGACAGACACCGGGTGTCGATGGATGAATGGATGCGTGAGAGGCACTTTCACAGCCGTTACGGATGCAGTCGGGGGGTAGGTCACCACGAGAGGCTTCACCACTGAGTGTGTCACCAGCGGGATGTCATGTCCGAGTTTGTATGGAGGTATCGGAGACAGCACTCCCCTTTTATGATGTCTCACTTTCCCTGCGATCCTCGCCGCCAGTCGGGCCTTCGTAGCCTTCAGGCGTGCCACATCAGCGGCTGATAAGCACATGCACACGCATATCACCAACGCGATCTGAAATACACCACGCGCCATGTTTAATGAAACCATCCGATTAGCTTTATCACAAAACACAGAACACTGACACTGCACTTTTCCAGCTATAAGTTTCCATGGATACTTACTACCGCGGCTCTCATGTTGGCGCGGTCTGCCCGACACAATGACCACTGTGAAACCGAGTGTCATCGTCGAGCACCACCCATACTTATAACTTAGAACACATGACATTAGTATGTAGCCGGCGTGTAGGTTTCACTCGGGGTAGCCGGACGCTTTACATCCAACTTCGTCCTTACGTTATATTACTTTCGTTAGCAGTCATAAATGATTCTATCTAAATTCTTCTTCCGAATTCGATGTACTGGAATATCAACAGTACTCCGTTGTGTTAGAGTGCGTTTCCGATAGTTGGTTATAGTTGACATGCAGTGCGCCGTCTGTCGTCATTCATGTAACACGGACACACGTGAGCATACCAATTGATTGACAAACGTAATCGGGAGAAAATTGTACCAGTGGATACAGAGACGGATTGAGTTCTATGTTTACATGCTTATAATTTTATTATTGTTAGTAATTATTTTTTTATTTTATTATTTACTAGCGATCCGCTCCGGCTTGGCGTGGGTAGGTAAATAGACAAAAATATATTTTATTGCCTTTATTACCCGTTGATAATGAAGTTAGTCGAGAAATTTTTTAAAATCATTTAAGTAAATTTTTGATTTTTATACCACTCAGAATGACAAACATGCTGTCGGCCTACCTGTTGGAAAGTGGTAACCGTTGCCTATAGATACAAGCAGTACCGAGTACATAATAGAGTATACTGTATTGCCTATGATTTGTCATTCCTGAGGTCTAAGGTGTTACGTTTCTATACATTGTAATTTCACTGCCATACCCCATTATTCTAACCGAAACACAGCCATGCAAATAACTGCTTCACGGTAGAAATACGAATGGGATAAAAGTGCTCCACAAACGACATTTGTACAGTCACCCCCTAGGTGATCTATATACTAACTATATAAATATAACTAAATATATATATATATATATATATATATATATTTAGTTTAGTATGTATATTTGTATGTATGTATGTATATTTAGTTTATTTATTTATTACAAATAAACAAACCAACAAAACATACAAAAAATCAAGTTTTCCTCTTATACAGACATATAGATATATAGACGGACTTATAATTTAAATTAACATAAAAAATATATGTTTAATCAATTAATCAATAAATTATATTATTTTACGCGGATAAAGCCAGGATATGGATAGTTTAGCACAATTTGTTTTTTTTTTTTTCAGTTTCTAAAATGTTTTCACCAACTCTTCAGAACCTATGGCTGTCGAGTCCGCGCCTGGCTGGTGCGCGTTGGTTATGCGCGCGCGCACGTCCAGTAGTTACCAAATGTACCGGCGATCACTTTCCTGCGCCTGCGCCGGGGCCCGCTGCTCTCACTATCGCCACGAAGGACGTGCACATGCAGATTTCCTCGACGCGTGACAATTCTTGTGTCGTAACATGGTTAACATGTCACGACGAAAATAGTACAGTATCTAAGGTAATATTATTTTTATGTATGAATATTGAATATAAAACACCTAATTATTTAACTATGTTTACTTTGAACCGTAAAGTCTTTTGCGCTTTTGATTTACCAGAGGGAGACTTTGTACAAAAGTCGATTGCTTGGGTACCTCTGTCTCATTCGTGTTTCAACCGTGAAGCAGTTGTGTTTTCATGGCTGTGTTTCGGTTTGAAGGGTGGGATATGGCGTGAATTTACTGGGTACAGAGGAATAACACCTGAGTCCTCGGAATTGGCAACGCATGGGGGGTATCATGGGCGAAACAGTATACTCTATTATGTCCATGGTACTGCTCATGTCTGTAGGCGACGGTTACCACTTTCCATCAGGGGGCCGTCAACTTGTTTGCCATTCTAAGTTGTATAAAAAAAAATACATTGGTCGAGTTGATGCCAGTGACGAATGATTGATGAGTGAACTCAGTTGACTATTAAACTATCATATCTCTGAAGCTAAAGCAAAAATACTCGATAAGTTATTTAATAAATTTCATTAAAATCGGTTAAGCGATTTTGGAGATAACCGTGAACGAAAATCGTGAGACAGGAATATTCATAATTGTATAAACAGTAGCTAATAAATAGATACTGATTTAGTTTAGTCATGTACTTTTTTTTTAATGGGTGTTAATGGAATGATAACTCCGCTTGCGCTATCGGTATACACTGGCGGGGCACCAGTGTGTGATGATAGGTGAGGATGAAGCAGGTCAGTTAGCCTATCATGACGAATTTAATAAGAATTTGCTACGATGGTTTCCAGGGGAAATCACGTGGAGGTCGATCTGATAGGGTATTTTTTTTTAATGGATGATAATGGAATAGCCCTACCCGCGCTATCGGTATACACCGGCGGGGCACCAGTAAAAGATGATAGGTGAGAATGAAGCAGGTCAGTTAGCCCATCATGACAAATTTAATAACAATTTGCTACGATGGTTTCCAGGTGGAACCACGTGGAGGTCGACCTGATAGGGTATATTGTCAGCAGTGGGGCTGTCAAACCTCATTACTAATAATTCCTTTCCCCCTAGTCATGTACTAGTAATGCCAGTACTAGTGTAGGTGTAAAGAATTATCACTTAAGGGAAAGAAAGTCCTCATGTGTTCAACGTGTAGGTGTAGATACAGGACACAATGTGTGGTGACAATTGTGGTCAAGGCGCAACCTCTATTTCTGGTTCCATTCTCAAATACCACTACACGTATGAGAATGTGTATTAGCTAACGTAGTATCTGGCGCCTACTCGTGTTACCTACATCCTACAATATGTTACGAACCGTTATATTTACTTTTTCTATTTAAGAAATCAGAGTATGTAGGTGTTGTGTATGTTTGTTACTCAATCACACATCCTTCTATAGTCTATAGCCTCCTTTAATAGTTTCAACAGATCTTAATACAAAGGTAATCAAGTTTTGTTGAAATTATCATAAAACCTCTCTAAATGAAATTAGTAATAAATCGAAACATTGAATGTTTTCAAATTAATAAACATTTTGTTTGCATTACTATTGATGAACAGCAGATCTTCTTACGGTCGGGTCAAGTATTTGTATATTTTAATTATGTCCTTTTGAAAAAGACTACAAATATTCCAGAGGGAGACTTTCGTTTACTGAGTTTATACTTTGTACAAAAGTCGATTGCTTGGGTACTTCTGTCCCATTCGTGTTTCAACCGTGAAGCAGCAGAACCGACTAAGGGAGGACGAGGGATGGACAGCAGCGTCTTTCTTAGAACATTACCAGAAGCGTGGCGATTACTATCGTTCAGCAGTGGACGTTTAAAGGCTGATGTATGTATGAAAGGAAATATAAAATAAAACCGTATACTAAGCCGCCCACCGTGATACTGGGCTATATTCTATGTATCTTTTGAGAAGGCTACCAGAGGGAGACTTTGTACAAAAGTCGATTGCTTGGGTACTTCTGTCCCATTCGTGTTTCAACCGTGAAGCAGCTGTGTTTGCATGGTTGTGTTTCGGTTTGAAGGGTGGGATATGGCGTGAATTTACTGGGTACAGAGGAATAACACCTGAGTCCTCAGAAATGGCAACGCATGGGGGGTATCATGGGCGAAACAGTATACTCTATTATGTCCATGGTGCTGCTCCTGTCTATAGGCGGTTACCACTTTCCATCAGGTGAGCCGTCAGCTTGTTTGCCACTCTAAGTTATACGTATACGTACGTAACACGTATATTAACGACACGCCCGGCTTTGCAGTTTTTTTTTTAATAAAATTCAGTCCACGTCACTCCTTGATAATGAATGACATATTGAATGAGAATCGAGAATGAATGACTGATAACTTTAATCAATGTAGCTTTCTATACAGGAAGAAAATGCGTTGCCATTCTTGAGGACTCAGGTGTTATTCCTTTGTACCCAGTAAATTCACGCCATATCCCACCCTTCAAACCGAAACACAGCCATGCAAACACAACTGTTTCACGGTTGAAACACGAATGGGATAGAGGTACCCAAGCAAACGACTTTTGTACAAAGTCTCCCTCTGGTGATATTTGTAGATATAAATATTATATGTATATATATATATACCTATTCCTACTACGACACCACAACGAAATGATTTATGTTATGATACTGTTAATATTATGAGCAATGCTCTGTACGCCTGTTCTCACATTAGGTTCTTGGGAGCGGACGCAAACTGTGACACACATGTGTCGAATGGAATGCTTTATTTATGAGCTATTATTAATGAATATACAGGTAACTAGGTAGGTAGTTGTTTAAAGCTAAAACAGTTCAGTATCAACAGGTTGGAGAATTAAATAATATACAAAATATGTCGTTGAATATAAATGGTAAAAATTGTAAATTGTACCTTATGCAACTGTATCTTTCTTAAATACATATTCTTCTTCCTCTTCTTCTTGTTAAAAATGTAGACTGATAGTAAATAATGAGCAATTTTCAGCTATCGCTAATTGTTTGTGAAATATGTTCGTGTGTTTTCACGCAATTTGCACCTTAATTGGTTTGATGGATCTTAATGAAAAAATTTTAGTTACTTAGAATGAAATTGTAATCAAACAAGATTTGATGTAACTAATGTTAGGGTCGGACTGGGCCGAAAGGGCCCGAGTGGCTGACAACAAGCCCTGGGCTCGACATTAAATGATGGTAGTTGCACCAGTTGGTGGTGACACCGCAAGCCCAGCAAGCCGATAATATATCTTATCAGGTCGACCTCCACGCAGTTCCCACTGGAAACCATCGTGACTAATTTATTGTAGAATTTGTCACGATGGGCTAACTGACCTGCCTTTTTATCCTCACTAAACATTCGTCACTGGTGCTCTGCCAGTGTATACAGATAGCGCAGGCGGGGTTACCATTTCATACCATTATCATTAATTAAAAAAAATAGCTAGGTCCGTGGGGGGCCCACGCAGGCTGTGGCCTGGCTAGCACATGCCAGTTCTCGACTATATGGCCAGTGCGACGCTAAATAATAAATCGTGTATTGAGGCATTAAATTAGCATTTTCAGTCATAGATTAAGAATAGTAAGACATCTCACAGACACTATCCGTGATGTTAGTTGATGTTGACAGTTTAATGTGACGTTTCGTGTCATTTCATATTTAAATGTCATATGATTGAAATTGTAAACAAACTAAAAATATTTATAATTATTGCAAATATATAAAATTTGAAATCATCTTTACATTAAAATGGAGAACATTATTAATAGGAATATCTGTAGAATATGTTTCAAAGAACAAGATATTTCATTTCCTCTGTTCGTAGAACGAAGTGATTGCTCATGGTCTCCTTACGACCAGCTTGTGGATAAAACTAAGTTAAAAATTGGCATCGATGATGGTGGACCAACTTCTATATGTTTACAGTGTTTAAGAGACCTTGAAACTACTGTGAATTTCTTGGAGAAATGTGAGAAATCGAATCAAATATTAACCTCTCTGTACCCTTCATGTGTCGCAACTACAGAGTCCAAACTTGACTTGAAAGATGTGATTGATAGTAGCGAGAACTATTCAGAAGTAGTTGAATGTAAGAATGCTGATCAAAGCAAAAGTGAAGTAGTCAGTTGTGAATTAAATAAGGGTATTAGCATTGAGGAAGAGATGGAGAATGCGTTGCGATGTCCTGAATGCGGATCGGGGCGCCGGTGCCGGCACTGGGCGCCTCCAAGTACGCACACGTGTCCTCAATGCCACAAAGTATTCACTAGAAAATTCAATTTTAAACTTCATCTGTAAGTTTATTTTTCATTCTTACAAATTTAAATCAACTGACCTTAGTCGGCACTTAGTGATAAACAACACATCACCCTTGTAGTTTTTCACATCTGTAGTCATAAGTAATACACATTATAGATTATCATGAGCGTACTTAGATCAAGATTCGTGGCAATTATGGTGTTTGTTTACTTTACAGTTTTTTTTTTCAATTAATGCATAATATATTGTATACAATTTTCAGAGGAGAAAGGGCGACTGCCTTCTCTTGCTTCCCTGGATACATCCATGTAAATTACACCATGGCTTTTAAGACACTAATACATTCATAATGGTTTTTTTTTGTCAAATATACTTGAGAGTGGCTTGGTTATCGTTTACACATAAACACTATGACTCGGGTATTGCTGTTTCACAGCTAAAGTAATGTGCAGTATTAGTGATAGTATCTTTGCTTTACTTGTAGTAGATTTCACAGTCATCTGTACAGGTACATCTGTCCTATTCGTGTTTCTGTTGCCAAGCGCTTTTGCTGGTTTAAAAATTATATTAGTGAAATATAATTTACTTAATTAGAGAACGCAGCATTGTACTATAAGCTACAAAATAATGGAATTTGTTTTTATTTTGAAAAGTTATTGAGCTTCCGCCTTAGATTACCCTATGTTATGGGAGAAACAAAATGTATTTTATGTCTTATGTCTATATTTTGGTGTTAAGAATGAATACTCATACATCTATAATGAATTTAATAGTATATAATTTCAAATAATACACTGGGACATCTAGTCACAGTGTATTTTATTAAATTAATTATGGTGTTTATGTACATAGGTCACCTATCACTTGCCACTTTTTATCAGGTGGGCTTTTTTTTTAATGGATGATAATGGAATGATAACCCTGCCTGTGCTATTGGTATACACTGGTGTTCAAATTCTATTGCTAACAATTCCTTGCCCCTCTATCAGGTGGGCTGTTAGCTTGGTTGCCACTCTGAGGTGCATAAAATATGAGTGTATTTAGTATTAGTATAATGTACTTGCAGCAAGCGGCACAGGGGTGAACGCGAGTTCCCGTGCGCGCGGTGCGGGCGGCGGCAGCTAACGCGCGGGCAGGCGCGCCGCCACTGCGGGCCGCGCGCGCGCCGCGCCTGCCCGCGGCCCGGCTGCCGCAGCACCTTCACCAGCGCTGCCAACCTCCACACGCACCTCCGAGCGCACGATGGTGCGTCCTCACACGCACACGCACACGCATACACGCACACACGCACACACGCACACACAGTAGTACACTACACACACAACAGAATCGACTAGTCTTTCTAACGAGTTGATGTAATTATTGGGCATAGGGACAGGTAGTGATAAATATCAATGTTATATATTTATTAGAGATGTCTAATGACAGTTGATATTTGGTGTAAAAGATAAACAAATCAGTTTGCTTATAATCTCAACTTGGATGTATTCTTTAATCAATAATCATAACCTATGGAAAAAAGCAACACAGATTTGTATATATATGACAACTAGTATTTCAATGAGTTACCTCATGTTTGTAACATTTGAAGTTTATTAGTGAAACAGAGATTACTTGATGATTGTATCTGGTTTTCATTACATTTATTTAGTGCACAATCCACTTGCCCATTTTGCATTTTGTTCTTTTAATATGGTGTTATTTGAGTGACACAATATTATATGTTTATATGTATAAATTGCTGGATTACTGTAAGTCTATATATATCATAATTGTTGTATTGTATTAATTGTTTTGACATTTTTAATTTGCAGGCGAGAGGCCCTTCGTTTGTGGAGAGTGTGGCAAAGGTTTTACATCTAAAAATATACTCAATGATCACTTGAGAATTCATACAGGTGAGTGAGAATTATTATCACATCATGAGGTAAAGATCAAAGAATAAGATGTTATCAAAGAGGCTATATTAAATGCATGTGTATTGGTGTACTTAAGATTATTTTTCCTGGTCCCTTAAAATGATTCTTTACTGATAATCTGAGGTAGCTCTAAGACGATTCTGAAGGGAGCATGCCTCACCTGGCCCCCCTATAAATATGTCTATGTGCATACAGCTTTATCAATGTCCGCAGTACGTCTAAAAGTGAATAATGCACTAAGCAGGTGTAAAGCCGTATATGTGTGCGGAGTGCGGTGCGCAGTTCACCACCAACAAGCTTGCCGCGCACGTTCGTACGCACCGCGTCCCGCGGCCGCCGCGTGCTGCACGGGCGCCGGCCGCCGCCGCCGGCCCGGCGCCGCACGCGTGCCGCTGGTGCGCGGCGCGGTACCGCCACACGCAGTCGCTCAACAAGCACGTGCGGCGCCACCACCAGGTATGACGTTCAACTAAATCTCTCACTAACACACATGTTTATTCATTCAATAGATATGTATGATAGGTACCATACCACTCCTTTTCGTTCCCAGTATGTAGTCGCCGTGTAGATTCCGGCATAGAATTGGCTATCCCTTCCTTTCCCGTGAGTATCGTAAGAGTACACTAAGGAAATTTATGATTGAGAGGTGGACAGCAGCGTCCCTCTTAAAAGATCATCAAAGAGCTGACTGCGATTACCAGACGTGGCAAAACTCCCCTTATGGAGAAGAGCAGTGGACAGTTAATGGCTAATATATATAAATATAAATAATGTAGTAAAAGCTGATCATGGAAACAAAATATATTACAGTAAAAAAAGGGAAATTCGGAATAAGACAGATTAATAAGAATTATCTAGCCAATGTTATAGTAGGCTAAAATTATTTACGTAGCAGCAGTAATGGATGATGCATGTAGAAGTATTTAAATCTTTCACCATCGCACCGCTCGCCATCGACAGGAAATCCATTCTTACACCTTAGAATCAGAACGGTCACGTATATACGATTTCAGAAGAGCTTCCTCCCGCAAATACTCAAGTTTTAAAATGATCTTGTCGAAACTTTCCGTAGAGACTACAGCATGAGGTTCTTCAAAAAGGGCGTATTAAGATCTCTTAAAAGTCAGCAATGTGCGCGCGACATCCCTGGTGTTACAGGCGTCCAACAGCTACGGTAACTCCGTTCACCATTAGACGGGCCGTATGCTTGTTTGCCACCACAGTAGTATAGAAAATATCTAAAATTAAACAACTCATACCTATTTCTTCTATGAAGGAACACTTAAGTTTACTTGGACAGTCCTATTGGTCGTCACAAAAACATTGATGGATATAGTTCTTATAATGAATAGCAATGCATGGGAGATGCCATGGCAGTACATTGTATTTTAAGATGTACATAAATGCTGCTCATTTCTGACAATGAAATGCAATTATTTATAATGACTCATCTATTTATGTATTTATTTTTGAGCCGCGACACTATTGTACGAATTTTATGTCTCTGTTTGACAGAGCAGTAAGTTTGTTCTAAGATTTGACTATATTTTTTACAGAATCTCGTCGAATCGAAAGCATCAGTGGAAAATGGCCAATGAAGATCACCATCGTCATATCAGACGTTAATCGTCTATTGCTGAACATATGCCAATGAAGATATGCTATGCAAAATAATATAATGTTAGAACACTACAATAATTATGGCATCATTGTTCATTTGTATTTGTTAGATAAAGTTAAGTAATAAGGCTATATATGTGTATTAATATTAATTTGGGACAGGAAACAAAAAGGTATATAAATAATACTATGTAAAGAACCGGAAATCCGGCTCGAAGGATCATTTCAAAATTGATTGTAAACTGATATCCAGTTGTCCCCGTTGAAGACACCAGTCACAGTTCGCCGGATTCCTGGTCTCCATCCAGTTTCAATTAGAAATATATCTTAAACCTACATAGCACTTACACGAGGGGGGAAAGGGATTGTTAGCGATGGGGCTTAACAGCCCCAATGCTAGCAATGTTACTAATCAGGTCGACCTCCACGTGGTTTCCCTTGGAAACCATCGTGGTTACTTCACGTGGAATTCTTCATGTTGCGTTGGGCTAACTGACCTGCTTTCATCGTCATCACTGGTGCCCCGCCAGCGTATACCGTTAGCACAGGCGGGGTTACTATTGCATTATGTCCCATTAAAAAAATACTCGAAATAACATGAATGTTATTATGTACTAGTTTATTTTTTATTACGATTTATGTCAGTGTGGCGTTTTCTAGTAATGTATAAAGAGAATAAATAGATTCTAGCTCTCAGATTTTCTCTCAGATTTTTTGTACATGTACAAGGTGCGAACGCCTCCTACGTGATTTGGCGAACAACAATGATTTTAATATGATTATTAACAAAAAAAAAAAGAGATACAAATTTGAAAATTCCGAAATTTGGACTGGGATGTGACCTTGGGGTTTCTGATCTGCAGCCAAGCGTGTCGATTGTGCTGTAACTGCTTCATTAAACTATTAAATAAGTACAGTCGTGCAATAATGTGCGCCACTTTCTCTCTGTGACATATTGACCAAAGATTTTATTTATTAGTCTATTCAAATCAATTACGTTATAATGAGATTATAAATATATAGTTGTAAAATGTATACAATTTCTTATATGTATCTAATGCATTACCAAAGAAAGAGACAAAATATTTAATTGTGTTTTAATAATTATTATTACCAATGATTTTATTAACAGAAATAAAAAGTAATTGTGATTTATGTTTTATTTTTTGTATTGTGTCTACTGTTCTTGAATTTGATTCCGTTGACGGTGACACGAGACCCTGGGTACAGATAGTATCTACCTATATGTAAAATTATATATTATGTTGGATCTAATAGCGAATATACAGCGGAACACATATAATATTTTTAAACGTTAATTTTGTATTAAAGTTTCCAATTTCAATTCTTATTCAATAACAATTCAGCAAAAAATAATGAAATAATATTGTGTTTAGCTAAGTATCGTGTCATCAAAGTGAAATATGTTAACTACAATAATTGTATCACTTTCTGGAAAATGCGTTCGAGTTAAGATTGCATTCTGGTTGCAGTGCCACACTGCAGGTCGCAGACTGCTAGCCTGCGATGTTGATGTAGCTCCTGCTCTCGTCGTTACTAGCGGGCACGGCTCGCTAGTAACGACTGTACCAATAACAAGCACCTTGCGGTCCATTTAGGTCATTGCACTTATCTCGAAACGTTTACCAATGACCGAGCGTTTCTACTTTGTTTTCTATTTCATCTCGCAGCGGCCCGGACCTTCACCCATATAGGCGACAGACGTTGTCGGTGATTCGACGTGCCTCGGCTAATTCAATTTTCACGCCTCAACAGTAATCGATTCGTATCTCGTCAATACTAATATTGAAAGCATCTATTTACGAAATTGTTTATTAGGAAACTTATAAGTAACAATTTTCTTAACACTAAATATAAAAATATAAGACTATTTAATCAAGTACAAATATAGCAATACATATAAACTAGATCATCACAGGAGAAGCATCTTTGCTCTTTCGATTTCTAGAACGGTTTAATACATCAATTTGGTGAACATTGAGCAAATGACGTCTTTGAATTTATGACGAATTAGGAACGCAATTAACGCATTGTCCTTGGTTTAAATAAATAATTATTATTATGGCGGGTACTGGGCGAGGTGTCGTCAAGCTCGCTCGTTGCCGATCCTCACGGACTTGCTGGAGAGAGTGGAAACGCGAGGCCGCGGGTCGTCCACCTGCACGTTGGTGGCGCGAACGAAGCCTGTTCTGTATCCCGTCTCCCGTACGCGGGCGTTGGGGCTAAGTTTGTCTGTTCGTTCTTTTTCATCAGCACGTCCTGATTCATTGGTGCGTTCTTCGTCTTTCAGAGACCGTTCTTTTTCGTCTGCTCTGCCTGAATCGTCCGATCTACCGGAATCATCTGTCCTTCCGGAATCGTCCGCCCTTTCAGAGTCGTCTGTCCGCTCATCTTCTCGAATCTTTTCGGGATCCTCTTGAAGGCGTTCATGATCGTCTAGAAAATGCCCATTCCTTTCATCCTCTGGCGCTTGCTCGAGCCGTGCGAGATCTGCATCTTTCGTCGGCGGAGGAATAGTAAGCGCTCTATAAAATTTCTCCTCTTCAGAAATTGGAAGCTTTTTACCAAAATAGTCATAGTCGCCGGCAGAGTATTCACCTTCAACATCGTCTTCTTCTTCTGCGGAACGAGTTTTACGATTTTGTTTACGACGCCGTTTACGTCGAACTGGCGCTTCTGTTCTGTAAATAGGAACACTATCCTCTCCTTCTGTATCCGATTCCGGATAGTTCTGATTCTCCTCTGACTCTTCAGCCTCGTTACTTTCATTTTCATCTCGATCTGGTCGTTCAGGGCGGTCTCTATGTAATTTTTTTGGTCGTTTCTCTTTATATATGGGGGGCACGCGGACTGTAACTGTGTCAATTTGATTTGGGTTATGTTCTGTTGGGGGAAGGACTCGCGGTCTCAAAGGACGCCTTGGGTCTTCAGTAGTGGTCGTTACCTCACTTTCATCATCAGCTTCTGGCAGCGGTAGAGTTATTCGATTTCGGTTTGGACGAGAGCGCTGTATACTTTGGTGAGAATCTTTATCGCCGACTCTTCGAATTTGATTAGCAAGTTCACGGTCTCCAAAATGCACTGTTTGATAATGATCCGCTGGCAGCTTTTTCGGTTTCTTCTTTTTCTCCCAGAAACGGTCAACAGCAGCGCCAAATTCTTGAACTGCTCGGGCTCGGTCACGAGATTCTTGAACATCTTCGTAGTCGTCGTCAGCTGGTTGTACTTCCTCGTCGTCATATGCTATGTAATCATCATCGACTGCATCTCGCTGAGAGTTCAATGCTTTAGCATCAACAGTATTCACTCTTTGTGTCACTCCATTTCTCACCACAAATGCGTCAACATAGACCCTCGGCTCACGCAGCTGAGGTGGCGGTAGTCTCGCTGCTCGTGGTTCAATAGCGATAGGCACAAATTGTTCTTGTTCTTGTTCGACTTCCTCGGCGGCCGGTGCCGCTGGGCTCGGAGTACTTCGTACAAAATTAAAGTTAAGTTGGAAGTTAGAAGATATGGTCTCGAGATTGGAATCGGCTTGCTGTTTAGGAGGCGGCGGTGGTGCCGGTGCACACGGCGAGGGTGTTGTCGGATTCGCCCTTGGTTTAGCGCAAGGTGGCGGCGGCGGCGGAGGCGGTGGTGGTGGAGGGGGAGGAGGAGGCGGTGGCCTCGGTTTACGCGGAGCAGCCCGAGGTTTAGGGCAAGGTGGCGGTCGTGGAGGTGGCGGTGGAGGTTTTTGAGCTCTACAAGGCGGAGGCCCGGCTGCACGCGGGGCGCCGCAGGGTGGTGCCGCGGGGGCCGGGGCAGGCGCCGGGGCGGGAGCCGCTCCCGCTTGCAGTGGCAAATCTATACCGGGCACAGGTGCGAGTGGTGGTGGAAATGCAGCCTGCGCAGGTTTCCTTGCGACGCTGTATCCGAGCACATCCGCGAGTCCCCTGAACACTATATCGCCGAAGGTTCGTTTCCTTCTGACCACGGGTTCATTGTCACCATCTAGTTCCACTAGTGTGTCGTTGTCTAACTGGATGATCGTGCCGTTGCCGAGGATGACGGTATTGGGTGTGCCGTCTCTGGCGTCACCGGGCACGACGGTGGCGTTGGCGAGGGCGTCCGCGGTGAGGGCGGCGGCGCTGCGTGCGGCCGCGGCGGCGGCCAGCAGCAGCAGCAGAGGCGCGGCGGGGCGCATGGCGCATGGTCAAGTGTCGCGCGGGAGGGCGCCGCCCGCGGTTTTGTTGCGGCCGCGGTTGCTCAAGCGTCGTCACGCCCCGCCGCGCGCCGACCGCACTCCGCGCCCTGCGCCACTCGTCTCGCCGCTTTGGGGTGGAGCGTGCAATGACAAAGCGTCCACAATTAATTGCTAATCTTTTGAGACATTGGGAATTCAATTTTGTTCCGATTGTTACACTTGTTTAGTATCTATTTTGAGACCTTAGTGTTTGTTGTCCGAGTGTCATAGTCCATTGCCAGCTGATTGACTTCACGTCGCGGTCTTAACTTTTGATTTTTGTAATGAACCACCGTTGTATTTATAGTTTTTATATATAGAATTTTGACGTTGAAATTATAATTTATATAATTTTGATTCTGCCGCCAAAAAGCTGCGTATCCGCTTGCATATCTGTATTTAAGTTTGATAGTTTATGTAGAGCAGTTAAATTACTGAATTACGGAGGCAAAACAATTTGGTTCACAGGAATGGCAAGACACCTACTACGCGTCACAGTATATACTGTGATTCTTTAGATGGGCCCTCAGCTTGTTTGCTTTTCCACGTTGCGTAAAAATTTGCAAGAGGATAAATTATCCTGTTAATAATAATAAATGTTTAGAGTTTGTAACAATGGTTGTATAGAATACATTATGTATGTAATTCAGGCGGACAACGCCGTAGGATACAGCTAGTAATATAATTACATTACCTATTACATACATTGTAATGAAAATATTATCGGTATAATGATCAATAATTAATGTTTCTTGTGTTACGTAAATATTTGAGTTATAGGTAGCCATTTCACATTATTGTAAACAAATTAGCTGCGGTCTATTCTCGTACAATTTCTAATTACTGCACGAAAGCCGCGCCTTTTGTCGTTATAAAAATAAATTTGTTTTGTGTTTATTAGTGGCCGATATAATTTTGCGCGCATTTCGACATTACTATCGAGCTTTCCGCTAGTGTTTACATGTAAATTGAAATGTCGAACACAAGGTCACTGAGCTCGCACGCCCCTAACACGATGTTAGGATAGTTTATAATAATTATGTTTAGTAATGGACTATAATAAATTGAGCAAGCTAATTTCAAATTTATGGAGTAATTATTAAAATTACTGTTTGTACAACGCTTTATATTAAATCTGGGGTTCCCAAACTTATTTTGTCTATTGCCCACTTTGAGAATAAATTATATTTTAGCGTCTCCACTTTTTTTTTTCACTTATTTAAAAACCACTATTACTTCAAGATCAACAAATCACCCCCCAAGCCTCTACACAACGCCACCATTTTGTTCTGAGTCTCTTATCGCCCTCTCTTAGGCCTGCAGCGCCCACAAGGGGGCGTTATCGCCCACTTTCGAAAAAGCTGTATTAAAATCACATGTTTGAAGGGTGAGATGAGTATTACCAGGAAATCAAAAGATACAAAGGCTAAGTACTTTCATCATTATCAACACAGCCTTTAATTGAACATAAGCCTCTTATTTGGCTTTGCAGTAGGTGCCACGTTTGGCAGGCGGATTGGCAACCGTAGTTAGGTTTTGTTGATGTTTTAAGGACACTGCTGTCCATCCTTCGCCCTCCCTTAGTCGCCTCTTACGACACTTACAGGAAAGGAAGGGGTGGTCTATTCTTTACTGAGACCTACACGGCTTGGGTACCTCTGTCCCATTCGTGTTTCAACCGTGAAGCAGTTGTGTTTGCATGGCTGTGTTTCGGTTTGAAGGGTGGGATATGGTGTGAATTTATTGAATACAGAGGAATAACACCTGAGTCCTCAGGAATGGCAACGCATGGGGGGTATCATGGGCGAAACAGTATACTCTGTTATGTCCATGGTACTGCTCATGTCTATAGGCGACGGTTACCACTTTCCATCAGGTGGGCTGTCAGCTTGTTTGCCATTCTAAGTTGTATAAAAAGAAACTATATATTGACTTAGTAATAAATCTATTAAATACCAGTTATTCAGTATATAATATCGAAATTAAAAAATCGATTGATAGATATCCGACGTAAAGTAATTATTGTTGTGTAATTAATTGTATTATATGCCCGATGTAGGCTAGGCTTTTCCTTTAAGACGTTATTTTATTTATTTTATTTTACACTTTATTGCACCAAACAAAAAGAGAAATAACAAATACAGTAAATATTAATGAGAAGTGATACAAAAGGCGGCCTTATCGCTGAGCAATCTCTTCCAGACAACTTTTGAGTAGAGGACATTGAGAAAAATACAAAGGGTAGGTGCCGCACTATTAAGTCTTTTTTTTATACAACTTAGAATGGCAAACAAACTGACGGTCCACATGATGAAAAGTGGTAACCGTCGCCTATAGACATGAGCAGTACCATGGATATAAACAGAGTATACTGTTTCGCCCATGATACCCCCCATGCGTTGCTATTCCTGAAGACTCAAGTGTTATTCCTCCGTACCCAGTAAATTCACGCCATATACCACCCTTCAAACCGAAACACAGCCATGTAAACACAACTGCTTCACGGTTGAAACACGAATGGAACACACATTTTAAGAAAAAATATAATGTACAGCGCACAATAAATATTTATTCTATTCTATTCCGACTGGTATGAACGATATCGAAGTGGGTGATGACCTTTTTTCCACCATCAATGTCCAGAGGAATCCAACATATAGATATGGCAGCGGTACCGATATTACCCATGCCCAATGATATGCCGAGTGGTCCCGGCATAGAATGATCCACTCTTTACTTTTCTTTAGGTGTCGTAAGAGACGACTAAGGGAGTCTAATAGTCGAGGGATGGACAGCAGCGTCCACGATAACTTATACGTTATCATGAATGCTGCTGTCTACCCCTCGACTATTAGGTATAAGGTAGTGTGGATGTCACAGTGTGTACTGCGATATTCATAGTGCTCTCATTCATGTCTGTAGGCGATGGTTAACGTTTTCCATCAGATGAGCTGCCAATTTATTTGGCATTCTAGTAGATTGTTAATAATGGGGTCTAACGGTCGTACTGTTAGCGTTATACTCTGTCAGGTCGACCTCCACTCGGTCACTCCTGGTAATAATTACAATGGTTGATTGTTGGTGAAGTTGTTATTAATCCAAACTATTCCATTTTCATCCTGAAAAAAAAAGACAAAGGGCCTACCATGAAATGTCCAAAATTTTGTAGCCGAACGAAATATAAATATGATGTTAAAGTTAACACATACTGTTTAAATATATTAAAATATCATTCCTTTGGACTTTAAAGGTAGGATTTATAATGAACAAAATGTTAAGCTCCATTTACCATATAGTGTTATATCTATAGGACTAGGTTATGTCTCTAACTTACAGCATACTTTATGCACTGATATAAGCTACTCGTAATACTGATTCACACGAGCAAAATCACACAGCTAGCATTTGGCAGTAGACAGTAGACTTTTCATTACAGAATGACAGAGTGATATTTCATTAGAATTCGTATTATTATTTATCTAGATTTCAGTGGTGAATGTCTCAACAAGATTATTTAATCAGCCGGTGACCACTTGGCAGGTAAAATTACTCACAAATTAGGTAACGCTGAAAATATTTCGTGCCACCGCTGACACTTTGTTTAATCGTTGCTTAACTTCTATCCTGTGGACTTTACTGAGTCATCACACTGTGAAGTGATGACGGAATCATCACTTCTGTCATTATCTGTTTACTGCTAAACATAGACCTTCTTCATAGACTACCATAAGGAACAGTCTTGAGCCACCTGCATCCACTGACTCCCTGCAATGCATTTGACGTCGTCACTCCATCTAGTGGGGGAGTCATCCTACACTGTATACTTGTATATGTAATTGAAAATTAAATATATGATGTACCTGTATAAAATAGGAAATGGATAAATTCAATAATTAATATTTGCATGCCATTTGATGTGGCGAAACATAATGGACATCTTATAAACTTCACAAATGCAACACCTTTTCTACAATGTTTCTAGCAAATAAATTTCATTTCATTTCATTTCACTGTGTTTGCCCGTACGGAGTTGCCACGCAAGAACCTTCCTTCACCATCGATTGTCGGTTTTTCAAGCTGTGTGACCATCCCATTGCTACTTTAGCTTGCTTATTTTTCGGGGTATGTCGGTTACTTTGGTTCTTTTGCGGATATCGTCCTTTCGGATTCTGTTACGTAAAGGCTCCGAGCGGGAGCACGCATGAAGTCTAAAATTGCTTATTAAATAAAAGGTACGTCATCATCAGTATCAGCTATTATCATATCATCATATTATCGAATTATCGACGTTTGCAGACACTACAAAGAGTTCCATCGGTAGACTGAAGATTGCATCTTGCACAGGGAAACATTTTGCAGAGTTGAGTGTTTATTGTTATTCACACTCAACAATTTGAACACCACTGGGTATTATTGAGAACGGAGGGTAGTTACTTATTTAATATGTCTATTGATACACTGATTGAACACTGTTTTATATGTTTAATGGTATGAGTCGACCTATATTTTTATTATAAAGTACAAAGTCTCACTTTACTAATAAGATAAATTTTTATTTATTTTATTTATTATTTATTTATTTATTTATTTAACAAAGTATGTTTGTATTAGCACAGAATTTATCATTGCCTCCTACACTAGGCTGAGCCTGTCCTGTAGGAAGCAGTACTCGTGTTATCATATACATGCATATAGATATTAAACATAGGCTTTTTAGCAGTACTCACAATTGTGTAACTAATCTGTATAATACAATTATTTTATTTATTTATTTTTTCTTCTCTCACCACCAATACACATGTATAAATAAGTATTATGAATGAGTGTGTGTGCATGCGTGTGTGTGTGGTGTGTGTCTCTCTGTGTGTGTGTTTGTGTGTGTGTGTGTTTGTGTGTGTGTGTGTGTGTAAATCAAATTATGAATGGTTTAAAGGATTTTGGCATCGAATTTACAAAATAAA